GCATGGTCTTCAATATAATTCTAGTTGTTTCTATGACTGCCCTATTTTTCTTCTTTGCTAAGCCATTTTGTTGAGGTAACATAGGAACAGTTAAAGAATGATGTATGCCATGTTCTCCACAAAAAAATTTGAATTTGAGTTCTTACTTTTTCTTCTTCTTCCAATCAATGCTTGTTGAATTATTTCATCTTTCTCTCGATAAAGTTATTATGAGTTGTTTTGTCATTAAAAATTTAGCACTTTAAACATCCAATCTTCATTGTCTAAATCACTTTTTCTTTGTCACAAGGACCCCAATAGCCATTTTTTTCAAATATTATCTAGTCACTTTACTTCCCACTCCCTAATTTACATTCTCTTAAAAACATATTTCAGTTTAGTACTTTAATTCATATCCACATTCAGCTTTCATTGTCTGAATCACTTTTTCTTAGTCACAACGACCCCAATAATCCTTTTTATCAAATATTATCTAGTCACTTTACTTCCCACTCCCTGATTTACATTATCTTAAAACATATTTCAATTTAGTATTGTATTAGCATATACTTTAATAATATGAACTCGATTTAACATACCAAACATACTTCAACACCCCAAATGAAGAATTTGCACCTATTGTCATTATTCATGAGTTTCGACTTAACACATCTTAAAAGATTAAATAAACAAATAACAAAAAAAAAAAAAAATTTATGATTAATGAGTTGGTGATCTTAATCCAATTCATATTAATATATTATGTCGAAGGTTCCTCAATTCTCTCAAGAACTATCCCATGAGGAAAAAGCTTACAATGTAAAATACAGTTCTATTTTATTTAAATGATTCAACTAACCATAATAAAAACATAAGAGTGTGTGGTACGCACTAGTAGACACTGTGAGCAAAATATTATAGTTTCCTTCTCCTTTTTAATTCTCTCTTAACTATAAGTGTTGGTATTCTTAAGGAATCACTTAACATCACATTTTTCATGTAAGTGTTGTGTTCTAGGTTCAATCGATTTTGGACGTAAACACTTTTAGTATGATTAATTTATATTTATGACATGTCTATTATTTTATTGAATTATTATTCTAACACATTAAGATGATTTTTGAAATTTAAGGTATTAAGTTTGTTGCATAGTATGGGACGAGACCCTTGAAATGATTCCAAATATGTATACAATTGGCTTAGGAAATAAGGCTTGAATAGTGCCTAGAAAATGGAACACAAAATTAGAATTTATGAGACTTGGTAACATTTCGGTAATGTTTAATCGAGTACCCATTTTTAGAAAGGTCGATATGACTTCTGTGCTCCATTCTATGCATTTCAAAACACATTATAAAGCTGTATGTATAATTAACGATAAATATGATTATTGAATCAAGGTTTTTTATTTAAGATAATATTAGTAGAATTGACGATAAATATGCAATCCTCATGAATAATTATTTTACTGACACTAATAATTATTCATGGTATCAGGATTTTGACTCAAACTTTGGTTCAGCTAGCTAAAGTTGCCTATTGTGCCGCCCTTTCACTTCTAGCTGCAATCCTACACGTGATCTATATACTTATCCTTCGGACGTTTTTTGGATTTAGCTAAGGTCTGATGTTTGTAGAGTCTATGTAACGGAAATCCAATACCAATCAGTTAAGAATATCTGTAAATGTTTTTTTAAAAAAAAAAAAAAGGGAAGAAGAGCAGTAGTATTGAAGCTGGAATACCAGAAGAAGAATATCCATGTGAGCAAGTACAGCCTCAAGCTAAAGAACTTAACAATTTGGAAGACGATTTTGTGGGTTTCAAGGATGAGAAAACCAAAATTGCTGATCAACTCGTCAGTGGACCACTAAAGCAACAAATTATTTCCATTGTTGGAATGCCTGGACTTGGTAAGACGACTATAGCAAAGAAATTGTTCAATGATCCGTCCATTGTCCATCATTTCGACATATGTGCTTGGTGTGTGGTTTCTCAAACATATAAGAAGAAAAATGTATTGATTGACATTTTGACATCGACAAGAAACCATAATAGACAAACAATCAAGGAGATGGGGGAAGAAAATTTGGCTGAAATGCTTTACAAAAGTTTAAAAGGAACGAGATACCTCATTGTCATGGATGATGTATGGGACACGAAACCGTGCGACGTGTTTCGCGCGTGTTAATTCGCTAACAATTAAAGAGGATCAGACGATTGTGTAAGGGACGAAACCTCTTGAGACAAAGTCCCAAAAAGGGGTGTTCTTTTTATTGGCGATGAACTTTACAATTGGAAACGGAAAACAACGTGCCTCCAAGGGGCGCAAGCACACGAGTTACAGAAAAGAAAGTGTTTCAGTCTAAAAGCTAAAGAAATGAAAATTACATATTCTCTGTTCGAGAGTTTTGGATTCGGTCCCTTGCTTCTATGTTCTTTCTCCCTTTTATACTTCATAGGCGATCCCTTTGTGATTAACTGCTCTAAAAAACTGCTTGATCGCCCTATAACTACCCACTTTCTTTGTAGTGGCCATTTTGTCATGAAACTGTCCTTTTAACTGCTGCCATTATCTTGCATCGCTCAACCGCTTTCGATTGAACCCCTTGAGTCGTGGAACGTGATAAGGTTACTTTAGCAACTGCCTCAATAACTGCATTTCTTGATAATCATAATGCGTTATGTTTGTTGATACCTTGGGCGACTTGAAGATTTGGGCGAGACTCTGGGCGACCGTATGCCACTCTATTCGTTCAGATTCTGAGCGACTTGCAAACTTGGGCGATGGCGTTACCGCACTATTGGGCCCCTTATTTGGGCCTTCACCTTGATTCGTTCAATTGGATTTCGTTCTTTGGGCTATCTGATTTGGGGATCCTCCAATTGGGCTTTACTCTCTGGGCTGTTCGATTTGGGCTGAATTTTTATGTGTCAACAATTACCCTTTAATTTTGATGACTTTTAGAAACTTCTGAGTCGTCCATACGTAACCCCAAGTTTTCTCGCGCCCGCCGATGTTGGACGTAATGAGTTTTACTTGGGTCCTTTCTTCAACAATGCGGAGGCAGTTGAACAGGCGGCGGTGGGTCAGCTGTTTCCTTGCACTCATGGCCCTCCTTTTCTAAATTCTTTGCCGCTGGGGCCACTTCGTGAAAGAGGTATTCGCATTTGGTCCAAATCTGACGTAGCTTTTCGTAGGTGGCATGCTCGTCTTGTGGGTCATGGTCCTACTAAGGCACTTTTTGATAGCGCTAGGATTTCTGATTTGTTGGAAATCTCTATTCGCCCCCCTACTTTTGATTCAGCGCTCTTTCCGATTGCTTTGAGCTTTTGGTCCTCTGAGTATAACACCTTTATTTTTCCTCTTGGCCCCATGTCTATTACGTTAAGGGATGTTGGGGCCCTAGTAAATTTACCACCTTTGGGCGATACCATTTTTCCCAGGCATCTTAGTTTCTGGTGGCGCCCCACAGTTCAGTAAAAACTATACCGATTCTTATTCAAGTCTGCAGACACTCCACAATCATTCGAGTGCTGAGCCTACTCATGCTGAGCGAGTGGCCTTCCTTTTAGTTTGGCTTTGTAAATATGTGTTGTGCGTGCCTAGTATAAAGCCCTTTCTGAGTTATCTACCTATAGCGCACGAACTGGCGCGTGGCAGGCCTTTGAATTTATGTTCTTTGTTTTTGGCTGCCCTTTATAGAGGTATGGCTTTTCTTCAGGCTCAATTGAAGAATGGTGCATCTCCTACTGGCAGTTGACCTCTTTGGTTCGCTCAACTGTGGTTGAGATCCTATTTTCCATCGCTTGGTGCTCCATCCATTTCTCGTCGTTCTGCTAGCTGTTACGGGCTAGCTATGGAGCCTTTAACTCCTGTAAGTATGTCCAGAAGGGACATTTTTTCATTCTTTTATTCTTTAGATTCAATCTCCTCCTTCTTTTCTTTTCCTCCTTTTTTGACTCCGAACTATGTACATCCTCCTTCCACTCTAGATAGCGCGAGCACCTCTCTGCTCATTTGGATCCAGTTCTTAACTGGGAGGGAGCTTTTCCACGATATCTTAACTGGGACCAATGCCAAAGTTGGGGTAGAAATTTATGCTCCCCAATTTTTTGCTCGGCAGCTTGGTTTCGACCAAACTTGGCCTGTTCCTCTTTGCTATTCGAAGAACTTAAACGACCGTTTTCATACCATTAATAAGGTGGAAGCAGAGGCTACAAACGCTCGCAACCTCCATTTATCAAGCCATTTTTCATTAGCCCCTTTTAATCCTTGTCATGCTACTCACCCTCTTTTCGAACAACTTTGGCCATCGGTGAAGCGCAGATTATTTGCGACTGAGGCCAATCGTGCCTTTCATTCATTAGACCAACCGAGTATTTCTTCTCCTCCTCCTGTTTTGGTCACTCCTTTGTCTATTCGGAACCCCTCTCCTTCTCGTCGTACTAAACAATCTGCTCGTCCATCTTCTTCTCTCCCTGCCAGGCCAACTATGGCCAAGAGTGCTCCAAGCCGCAAACGGCCAGCCTCAGCGTCTCCCATTCTGGAGGATGATGTTGATGATGATGATGATGATGTCCCTCTTATCGTTAAGAGAAAGGTAATTAAATTGGTCTATTTACAAGTATGCTCTTCCCCATTTGAAATTTTTCTGTGTACTGATGATCTTTTGGATTTTTCAGAAAAGCTCAGCTTCCCCTTCAAAGGCTTTGGCATTACCAATTCCTGCTCCATCATCCTCTGTTGAGGCTACTTCATCCAAACCGGTTGATGATGGGACCATGCTTAAAGATACATCTTCAGTCCCAGATTCTTCATCACAACCCATGAATGAGCCACCTTCCTCCCAGGGCGTCGACCCCCCAATCATCGAAGCAGAAGGTAATTCAGTTTTTGATGTCTTACCTTTGCTCGTGCTATTGGTTTTTGACTGGTTGCTCTTTGAACTTTGCAGATACTCCCATGAGTCCGCCCGTTGTGGCAACATCTTCTCGGTCGGACAAGGGGAAGTCCTCACGAATGGATGAGTCGTTGGTGGCCAGCTTGGCTGAGGGTGCGCCATCTTCTACGATTGTCGATGAGGTAGTTTTTCTCTTTGCCCCATTCCTATTTCCAACTTGTTCGTTGTAGCGAATATTTTTAATGTTGGCAATCTTCTTTGCAGGATGCTGACAGGATTGTGCGTTCTATCCAGAATTTGTTCGCTTCCTGGGGGCAGGTTCAAATGCCTCGCCCTGCTCCATCTGATCGTCCTGCTGCTTCTTCAGAAGAGGACTTGAAGTTCTTGAAGGAGTTGGTATTTGAGTACGTGTCCTTCATGGACATGGACATTGGAAGGGCTAGTGCTGCCAGACACAAGGATGAACTTGAGCGCTTGAGTGCGAAGTTAGAGCAAGCACTGACGCTTCCGTCGCTCAATCTTTCTGCCGACTTTAAAGCGACGTTGAAGGTCATTTACTCTGAGGTCCTTACTATGCTGGCCAAGAATGCTGAACTAACTGCTTTGCATTAAGAATTTTGTCCATTCCCTTTTGATATTCCCACTACTGTTCCCAAGACTTAGGGCCATTTAATTCCGTCTATTAGACAGAAATGTGGCAGTTCATATTCTGTCTCTTCATCTTCACCCCTCTATAAATGTTTCGCATTTTTCATCCTCTATCTTCATCTCCTCATTTTCTTATTCGAAACCAATTTGCTGCCATTTCTTGGCATTCTGACGATCAATCTGATCCAAAAATAGACTGTTTAGTCCGTCCGCCTTATACTTACTTTGATGTCACCTTTGGTATGGGAGGTATAGGAAATGTTTTCTGGCCCGCAGCGAAATTTTTACCTGCAAAATTCTTCCCATCGTCTCTTTGTTCTTCACAAGGAGTCAATGATGGAAGGCAATTTTTGGGCTGCTCATGGGCCATTTTGCTTGCTGAGAGTGCTTCTCAGCTTGCCTGCTGAGAGTGTTTCTCAGCCTATTTGCTCGTTATTGCAGCGATGCATTTAGGAAGGTGGTGAGGCCAGTACACCCTCTCACTCGTCAATCCCACCACTGTAGCGATGCATTTAGGAAGGCAGTGTGAAGCTTACTCAGTAATCGACTGGGAGATCATCTTACTTTAGTTGTATTTTGTAACACGCCTATTACTTGTATCTTTTATATTCTTGTAATGAACGTTTGGTAATAAAGAACTTTATTTGAATGTATTTCGCTCTGTCTTTATTGTTTTTTGATCGTCCAGAATGTTTGGTTATGTTTTTATCTGTTCGTATTCCCATAAAGAAGGAACATATTTTTTCAAATATTTGCCATTAATGAATCTTACGTGCTTGGTGCCATCTAAATCTTCTAAGTGGTATGCTCCATTAGGCAATACATTGTTTATTTTGTATGGTCCTTCCCAGTTGGGCGACCACTTCCCGTACTTTGGATCCTTGGTATCCAAAGGGAGTATCGTCTTTCAAACTAGTTCACCCAGGCTGAACGACTTGGCTATGACTTTTTTATTATAAAATTTAGCCATTCTTTGCTTTTGAACTTGCAACCTATCCAAGACGTCCAACTTCAATTCATCTAAACTTAATAAATTTTGAACTAGCGATTCGGCATACTCATCATCATTCAACTTATGTTGTAAGCACACTCGAATTGATTGCACGTTGATTTCCATAGGCAAAACGGCCTTCTGTCCATAAACAAGTTGGAAAGGAGTAACTTTGGTACTTGACCGAGGTGATGTTCTATAAGCCCATAAAGCCTTATTCAAACATTTGTGTCAATTTCTGGCGTTTTCCTCTATCATCTTTCTGATGATATTTTTTAGAATCTTATTAGAAGATTTCGCTTGTCCGTTGGATTGAGCGTAGTACGGTGTGGAGTTTACTAGTTTAACCCCATACTCGCTCAAAAATTTGTTTACTTGATCTCCATTCAAAGATGTTCCGTGATCTACCATTAAAGTTTGTGGAATTCCAAACCTATAAATAATGTGATCGCGGATAAACTCTATAACATTCTTCTGGGTGATCTCTTTTAAAGGTACTGCTTCTACCCATTTAGTGAAATAGTCGGTTGCAACTATAACAAAAGTATGTTGCTTGGATGATGGAGGGTAGATCTTCCCTATTAGATCTATCGCCCAACCTTTGAACGGCCAAGGTTTAATAATAGGTGTCATCTCTCGCGCTGGCGCCCTTTGTATTGGACCATGCTTTTGGCATGCTAAACAACTTTTTGCATATTGAACGCATAGTTCTCCCATCTTTGGCCAAAAATATCCACTCCTAATAATTAACCATCTCATCCTTTGGCCAGCTTGATGAGCTCCACATATCCCTTCGTGCACTTCAGCCATGATCGTCTTGGCTTCTTGCAAACTTACACACTTTAGTAATACACCATCGGGGCGTTTCTTAAATAACTCTTCGTCTATTAGTATGTAATTCAGCGAACATAACTTTGTTTTCCTACTAATCCCTCCATTAGGTTCTTGAAGGAACCCTTTAATCTCTATTCGTCAATCCACTGCATCTTCATCTTGTATACAGTGAAGTTCAATTTTTCTCGCCCTTATTTGAGTTATGGGCAATATGATTCCGTATTCACAAGTAGACTTTCAATCCAAGATTTTAGAGTACCCTGAAGCCATTTGGGCCAACTCATTCGCCACGTCGTTATATATCCTATTAACGCATTGAAGTTCTACTTGATCGAATTCCTCTAATAATTCTTGGGCGATCTCATATTGACTTATAATGGAATCACTTTGGCATTTAAAATCACCAATTAATTGATGTATAACCAATTGAGAATCGCCCTTAACGATCACGTTTCTTACTCCCATATCTATCATCAGTTCTAGGCCTACAATTAAGGCCTCGTATTCGGCTTGATTGTTGGTGCACATTCTGTCTAAGGTGAATGCGAATTTGTAGCAAATCCCTAAACGATTAATTAGTGCTACTCCTACTCCTGTACCTTTAGAGGTCTTTGACCCATCGAAATACAATACCCAAGGTTTTAGTCCGAACGAGTTGATTTCTAATTCGATTTCTTCAGGCATGTCAAGGCATGGATGATCGGCTAGGAAGTTAGTCAAAGCCTGATTTTTGACTGCCTTTTGAGGTATATATTGTATTTCGAACTCTGATAAAGCTAGTGTCCAAAGGCCTACCCTTTGGTGTAAAATAGGGCGCGAGAACATATATTTGACTAAATTTACCTTAGAAATTAAATAAACGGTTACGGGCCGTAAATAAGCCCTTAATTTTGTACATGTGAAATACAGTGCTAGACACAATTTTTCAACAGCAGAGTAATTACATTCACATTTCGTTAACCGTCTACTCAAATAATAAATTGCCCTTTATTCACCAAATTGGTCTTCCTGTGTGACCATTCCAGCTATTGATTCCTTTTCAGC